ACCTGAAAACTAACAATAAGCTGCTCTTGCACAGCGTTTCGATCTGCCTTTCGGTCCCATGTAAATAATTTGCTTTCAATACTATCTATTGGTATATTGATACATACAACCACCATAGATAATTTGACGTACTTCCCTCCTCCGAGTTTCTTGGAAAGTAATTGAAAGTTGACTAGTAATTTATGCACATCTTCTAGCAGTATCCATTCTTTATCCTAAAGAGCATATGGTTTTAAATCAACAACATTTTGACACAATGCACCAAGGCCATGTCTACCTTCAAGAGGTATTTTCAACATATCATTACTGGAATTCCAGCGTGTAGATACGAAAATATTTACAGAAATATTGCCGATATTATTTGCAGAAATACGTACCTGCGAGACTTTCGTACGAGACGCAAGACCTCATGCACGAGACTCGAGACGAGACCAATGAAAGTCTCGTCTTGTCTTGTCAACCACTAGGAACGTTGCCGCCTAGTAAAATTTCCTGTTTCCACATATCGGTTCCAGGCATCCTGAACTGTTGTTCGTGGTATACCCAACGTATGGGCAACGTATCGCTGACTTTTGCCATCTTCAATTAAAGTAACAATACGGGCAACATCAGTTACTGACAACGGCATCTTTAACAACTGTCAATTTACTATTCGAAACAACTGTCATACGCTACCTAGCGCTCCACCTTAGATTTTTATGCTTGTTTGTTTTGTTTTCACAGGCGTTCGCTTTAAAACACTGCATCTTCGTTAGTAATAGAGATAATAGATTGAATAAAAAAACAAAATGTTCAGAAAAGATTGGGCTACCGTTTGATTCCAGTTAACACCCTCTGCTGTAGCATCTGCACCCCACAGGGTACTACAAATTTCGAGAAAAAAAGTTTTTCTCATTCTTGCACCCCGTATATGCTCAAATTAATGTCCGAATAAACATTACAGAAGAATCAACCTTTCGACCAAAAAAAGAAACATCAATCGAATGAGTGGTTCGCGAGAAACCATCGAGAAACCCAGCTTTGAAATTGTGGCTAAATTTTAGTGGCCGTTTATTTTTTGCCGGTGAGTGTATATTTGCACAAAATAGTAAATACAATGTATTTAATATACAAAGTGTTTTAAAACAACGTTTAAATATTTATAGGGGTAGTACAACAGTCGAAAACAAGTCGAAAAGTGTTAATAAACATAAGTCCGAAAATCAACCGTTCTCGAGATACAGAATGTTCCAATTTTTTGGGACTCTACCTTTTTTCTTTTAAACTACGGATTCAATATTTGGGAAACCGATACAGTATGAAACTGTCTTTTTTTGAGAGTAGTATGATGTTTCCATTGCTTCCGGTTGAACCGGAAGTGAAAATAAATACCACTATTCATACCTCAGAAAATTCAAAAATTTTAGTTAACAATTGGTTAAAGATAGCTTAATTCTAAACAACATTAATTCGAAAAAAAATTTTGTATTCCTTAAGATTTCCGGGAAAAAAAATACATTTTTTAAAGTAAATTATTAGAAAAGTTGAATTGACACAATGTAATACTAATACTTTTGGTTTTTATAAGTTTCACAAATCGATGCAGTATGATACTGTCTCTTATTGAGAGTAGTATAATATTTCCATTGCTACCAGGTGGTATAAGTTATTCCATTACAAAACGTTATGCCGAATGTACGACCATTAGTTACCAAAATTTTGCCATTACAAGGAGTAGGCTTTGACTTACATACAATCTGCTAAGATACATTAATTTGACATTTTGTTCAATTTATGAAATAACCAAAGTCCAGTAATTTGAATTTACAAAACCTGAAGTGAAATCGTTTGCAATGGTTTTGTATTCAAATGGTGAAATGAGCGATATGGTGTTTATGTACGGCCGTGCTAATGGAAATACTTTGAGAACACGTCGTTTCTATACTGAAACATTACCCAATAGGCGGCTACCTTCACATGTTATGTTTCAATCACTTTTTCACCGTCTAAAAGAAACTGGATCGTTTGAAAAAAGGTCTTATAATACCAGACAGCAGAGATCCGTATGTATACCGGAAATAGAGGAACAAATTTTAAATACAGTTGCTGAAAATCCCGAACAAGTGTGAGAAGAATTTCGGCTCAAGTGGGTATTAGTGGATATGTTGTTTAGAGAACTCTCCGTGAGCAACTTATTTACCCTTACCATATCCAACGTGTCTAAACCCTCAATCCTCCGGATTACCACACACGGTTGGCATTCTGTCAATGGTTTTTACGAGAAGCTGCTGAACGTCGAGGATTCTCAGCTAACATACTTTTTACCAATGAAGCTGGTTTTACTAGAAATGGAATATTCAATTTACACAATAATCATGTGTGGTCTGACGTGAATCCTCGAGCCGTTGTTGAAACCAGAAATCAACAGCGTTTTAGTTTAAATATCTGGTTAGGCGTCGTAGGAGATAGGTTGTTGTGACCGATAGTTTTACCACAACCATTAAACGGTCTAACATACTTTGATTTCTTGGAAAACACTCTTCCTCAACTTTTGGAAGACTTGCCGCTAAATCAAAGACTAAATCTCTGGTTTATGCAGGATGGAGCTCCCCGCACTTTACGCTAGATTTTTGTTTATGGGGCTACTTAAAAAGTTTAGTGTACGCGACACCTGTAAACAATCTTGAAGATTTGCGGCAACGAATGAAGAACATGGTTGCCAGACAAGCAATTCGTGAAAACTACGGGTTATTTGAAAGAGTTCGGACTTCCTTTGAACGTAAAATTAGAAACTGTATTGATGTTGCAGGTCGACATTTTGAACATCTTCAGTAAAAAGCTTCGTTTTGATGATGATTATAAACTTGTAAGTTTTGTGAAACTTACAAGTTTCACAAAACTTTTCTTTTTCAGAAACCTCAAGGAATACAAATTTTTTTTTCGAATTAATGTTGTTTAGAATTAAACTATCTATCCAATTGTCAAATAAAATTTTTGAATTTTTCTGAAAAATAGTGGTATTTATTTTCACTTCCGGTCTAACTGGAAGCAATGGAAACATCATACTACTCTCAAAAAGAAACAGTTTCATACTGTATCGATTTGCCAAATATCGAATCTGTAGTAGTTATAGTTTAAAAGAAAAAAGATAGATTCCCAAAAAATTGGAACATCCTGTATCTCGAAAACGGTTGTTTTGCGGACCTATGTTCATTAGGACTTTTCAACTTGTTTTCGACTGTAGTACTACCTCCATAAATATTTAAACGTTGTTTTAAAACACCTGTATTATTATCAATAAAAACCATAACTAAATTTTTATTTGTTTTTAATTTAACCCATTTTTCGAAGTCGATCGCGCATAAATAAGAAAAATTAATGTCGATCATACCAGTGTTAAATTACCACCTGATCACCTGCAAAATGTACAGCCTTACCTGTGCTCCAATGTGCTTGGAGGCCTTTTGTGATGTTGAATCTTTGGCCCTCTGTATAGTTATTGTACTGCTTTAACTATTGTGTCATTTATTGACGTTTGTGATAGAACTTGCCATTTTTTTTTTAGCGATACTATTATACGCTTTGGTTGAATCAACAAACTTTCTTTTCTGTAATTTTTTCTTTGAACCCCGCTTGTTCCTCTATTTCAAATGACGCACATTTTTTTTGTGATTGTTACTCATCGGTAGATATGACAGTTTTTTCAACCCCCTTTTTTATGGATTGGTGTTCTCCTTCTTTCCTTCCAAGCCTCCGGAATTTCTTCGCCATTCACAAAGTCTTGCAAGATGGCTAGCAGAAATTCCAGCCCTGTGTTAGACGCGTTCTCATTTCTCATGTGTTATTCATAAAAATATTTATTATTATACATGTAGGAAGAGTGATGATAAACTGGAATTATGATGGCATTATTCAACAAAATCGTTTGATTTTATTTCCGGAATGTTGTTATAATTGTAATACACGCATTCCCGAGCAAGTTTCTAAAACAGGAATGCATATCGCGGCCGTTTTTTAAATACCGCTGTTATTGAAGTTCGTAACGTAGTCGTTAATATCCAACATCGACTTTCTATTGGACAGGTGGCTCTGTTTTCTTATTTACAATTACCTATTTCAGTCAGTTATACTTTAATTATAATTATCATTTTTTACTTGCAGTAGTCATCGTATCTATTGTGGCTCGCCACATTTATAATAAAAGCTACGACTTTAATTATAGTACAAAAAAATTAAATTAAATCAACCACAACCTCCACTATCCAGTTAAATCATTTTAGATAACAAAACATTAATCCACCTTAATTAAGTATATTCACTAACAATTTCTTTTCTTATAAACTTGTTATAAAACAATTAAAAGAGGAAATTTATTCAAGCGTAATTCCCATATTGACCCGTTTCTATCACAATAAACACAGCACGGATGGCATCCATATAAGAGAAATTGTATAGCTTTCACCACGGACGTGAAGAATTCATGGCACGCGTGTAATCGCTGCTTTTAATTCCGGTTTCAAATCAAATAATCACAGAAGCAACCGACAACGTAACAACGGTTATTCTGTTGTCCGTCCCTATTTGCGCAACCGTCCGGTTATTTAATCAACCAGTTATTGCCATTCAAGACACCTGTCCGGTGCGAAATCGCGAACGCCGCAACCAGATTTTTAAGAGAAAGCTCGACTTTGCAGGGCGCCGCACGCCGAACTTGGCGAATTCTTTAACCGGGAACTTTCTCCCGCAAGATCTAAAAACGTCCCTCCGAGAAGAACAAAATTTACACTGCGGGTCGAAGACGACGTTTGGGTCAATGGCATTTTCGCTGATTGTGTGGTGGTTAACCGCGAGGTGTCAAACAATTGTCGTTAATTGTTGCGAACTAATGCTGTTAGATGAGGTACAACGCATGACGAATTGTTAAGGTATTCGAAATTATATATTTTATAGTGAAAGTTTACAAACAACAAAATAAAATAACACTAAATAATATTTCTTAAAAACATTTATTTTATATAACATTAAATTACATTTCCCAATTCATCACCAAATCCTTTCTTTTTCTTCGAAACAACATCATCAAAATACGTTTTAAATGGTAAGACTCCATCTTTGCAAGCTATATGAAGATTTCGACCGCAAACGTTTTTATTTATATGTGGATTATGTAATTCTGCGATTTGAGTGGAAGAAGCTGCAGCCGAATCGCCGGTTGAGGACGTTTTTCCCAGCCAATATTCATTTCCTGGAAGAGCGTTTCCATCCCAAGCATAAGAAACCACCAAAAGCTTTTCATCGTGTGGAGAAGTTAGTTTCGTATGTGGTTCACGGTTTGTGATATAAACGACGATTCCTCCATTTGGGTGCGAATCACATGGAATTTTAGAACCGTGTGTGTATTGGGCGCAATTTTGTGTTGAAAAATATGCGAAATGAATATCGGAAATTGAATGGAGATGTTTGGATAATACTCTAAAAAAAAGAAATTAAAATATTTAAAAATTTACTAATATAGCTCAAGTGAATAGTCATAACTTTTCGTTTTTAAACAAAACCGTTTTAGTAAATTTAGAATAAATATCTTTCAATGTTAAAGTACTTTTTGTTGCTTGAATCCTTCTTGAGCTAAGATGCTATCGGTGCATTTTTCCTCGAACGGATCCAACGCAAAATACAAAGTTTTAGTTTACCTTTATGCTTTATGTTCCCTCAAACTTTATTAGGAGCATTTTGCCCAACCCAACCCCCCCCCCTTTCCAAAAAATATGTAGTACATCCATGCTGTCATAATTTGAAGAAATAGCCTTCATCAATCAAATATTTATAAAATTCCCACGTTATAACAACACCAAGTATATTATAGTGTCTTCCGAAAGAATAAAACAATACAAATCCAACGATACCTAACAATCTAATATCGGTTTATGAGTTTTTTGCATAAAAATTAAACAAAATGCGGAATTTTGCCGGAAAACCCAACGTATCTTCGTTGACTACCTGTCGAGATATAATGGGCCAGGTAAATGGTGGACGGCCAGTTAAAGATCAGTCTAAAACTTGTAAGAAAAAATTATCAACAATTTTAAAGTTTGTAGGTACCTTGAAATTTTGTATTTAAGGGGGCATGCATCTGCCTTAATATACAGGGTGATTCACATAAGAACCGACACAGAGCAGGGACATGTAGAGGACAATAAATTAAGATGATTTAACGTAACTTACCTCTATACTAAGTTGTACACCTGAGGAGTTATAGGTCTTCAAAGTTGGCTCTTAAATTTTTAAAAAGTTCAATATCTTTGTAATACATTAAGCTAGAAAAACCAAATTTGGTATACGTTATGAGTGTACCAAGGGTATTAATTGGTAGCAAATTGAACTCAATTGCATTTCAAAGGGTTGATTAAAGGTGATGGTACCCTAAATTTTGACAGATTTTTTTAATCTTTTGGCGGATTTAACACATTATTACTTCATTTCATGTGGAATTTAATTCTAAGACTTTTCTTGCTCTTATTATTTTTTAAAAAACTTTGTCGTTTTCATAGAAAACTTAAATAATTAAACCCACGTATTTCGTAATGTTGCTTAAAATAAGCGAAAATTCAGTAGTCGGCTATGAAATTGTACGTCAAACTTGACAAATAGGTTATAAAGTTATTTGACGACAAGGTTTTATAACCTATTCGTCAAGTTTGACGTACAATTTCACAGCCGACTATTGAATTTTCGATGATTTTAAGTAGCATTAACGAAATTCGTGTCTTTAGTTATTTGAGTTTTTTATGAAAACGACAATGTTTTTTAAAAAATAATAAGAGTAGAAAAAGTTTTACAATTAAATTCCACATGAAATCAGGTAATAATCTGTTAAATCCACCAAAAGGTTAAAAAAATCTGTCAAAATTTAGGGGACCATCACCCGTAATCAACCCTTTCAAATGCCTCAATTGGTCTCAACTTGCTACCAATGAATACCCTCGGTACACTCATAACGTATACCAAATTTGGTTTTTCTAACTTAATGTATTACGAAGATATTCAATGTTTTAAAAATTTAAGACACAACTTTGAAGGCCTATAACTCCTCAGGAGTACAACTTAGTATAGAGATTAGTTGTATTAAATCGTCTTAATTTATTGTCCTCTACATGTTCCTGTTCTGTGTCGGTTTTTATGTGAATCAACCTGTATATACATATAAATAATACATATACAGGTATCCCGTTAAGCGTACGGAGCGGCTGTATCTCTAGAACGTTAAGGCCTAGAGGTTTGGGAAAAAAATCCTTACAAGCAAAGTGACCAAGAGAAATAGCTGGAAATTATTTTGAAGTTCGTAATTCGACCGCTAGGGGGCGTAACTGCCATTGAGAAACATAAAGCTCCCGCTATCTCAGAAACTTAGACGATGAGCTATAACTTTGACAACATCATTTAATAGCTTGGATAATACCGCATCGCTTTTGTTTTGCAATATTTCTCATATCTGTCATAATAAGGGAGGGGGAGGCCAATGTGTTTTCATATGTTTACATTTTAATATCTCCTGGACCATTCAACCGATTTGAATATTTTCGGTGTTGTTTCAAAGAGTATTTTATGCTCTTTTTAAAGATATTTTCAGTAAGACCGTTTACTTAAAAAAGCTAGAGGGCGTTATCTGCAGCGATTACATATTTTTGTGATTTTTGAAGAAAAGTTAAATGAAACGATACTATTTACTTCACAGACCCTTAGTCACCATAAAATTTGGTAAATTTTAGTGAAAACCGCATCTCGATATCGCCACCCGTTCTCGAATTATAGAAGAAAATGTTAAAAATGGCACTCGAGCCATCAATCGGATCAAGTTACCTCATCGAGAAAAGCAAATCACATAACCATGGTAACTGTAAACATGTCATTTACTAACGCAGAAGCGTATGATAGAGCGTATGATGATTTAATTTCAATGTTTCGAATACGATGCAATTGCATGGCAAAAATGTGCATTGCAATTACGACAAAGGAAGACATTTTTCTCTAGAAGTATTTTTAAGATTGACTCAGCGATTACGGAAAACTGGCAACGTGTAGCCCATTCAGACAACACTATGAATTCGTAAATCACATTGGTGCGCAATGTGATCCCACATAATCTGGGAACTCCGAAAACAATTGTCCACAAGATTTCTCAAGAGAATAATATCTCCACCACGTTGTTTTACATCAGGCCTTAAGATACCGATTATGATAACAGACTGAACAATTACCATTGACTTTTAAATATGATTTGGGCAAATCCAAACCTTTTATCACAAATGCTATGGATGCATGAAGCATCTGTCCACAAGCTGATGTAAACTTGCATAATATGCATTCTTGGTTCGAGCAAAACCCACATTGCTTTCACCCCTTTATCTATTGGGTAGACTAAACGACCTGACTTTTCAAGAAAAACCAATAACCAGGGAAAATATGACAAAACACTAAATACCAGTAGAAACGTGTCCAGGGCCGAAACTTAAGCAGCGCTTTTTTTTTCGTCGAAACTAGATTAAATAAATGCATCGAGGTTTATGGAAGGCATTTCGCACATTAGTGAGTTATTTTTGCCAAAATTTAAGTTATTCTAAGTGTTTTGGTTTATTTTGTTTTATTATCATTGTTGATGTTTCATTGATCCGTTGGCTTTTCAACACGCCTCAAAAGTAGTTTTGAAGCAGTTCTAAGCTTGGATAAAGTGTGAAGGAAGGTTCTAGATAATAAAATTTTTGTTCTCTGTTATTTGTTTCCTAAGGTAACTTGATCCGATTAAGATATACGAATTTTTAACATTTTCTTTTATAATTCGAGAATGGATAGAGATATCGAGATGCGGTCGAATGCGAGAATGCATTTAACTTTTTTTCAAAAATCCATAATACATATATATTATAAAATCAAGGATGAATAAGCATTAATTTTTTTAAAAAAATGTATGTACAGGGGTCCAAATTTCGATGGGTTTGCAGGGTATCTCAGTTATTATGAAAGATAGATAGTTGCGGCTTTCGCGAACCTGAGCTGTTTTTTTGTGAAACTTACAATGGCGCAAACCAAATTTTCATAACCCTCTTCGTTTTTGATATACAGGGAGTGTTTGAAATTTACGATTTTCAGACACCTCCTTTTAAGAACGAATGCATATAAATGAGAACAAGTAAATTCGACTATTCGGGGTGTACGGTCCAGGATTTGATTAAAGAAACAACTTTTTAAAAAGCTAATATTTCTTTATATTATACTACTAATAAATAACTAATAATAGTAACAACTTAGTAATAATTATACTAATATTTTTACTAAGTTCAGCATTCAGCAAGAGGACCAACTACAATATCAGTAATACTTCTGATTTTGTTAAAGACTTTAAGGGTTACAAACTTCCGCAGGATCACACTTTGATTTCACTTGATGTCGTGAGCCTTTTTACGGTTATTCCGTTGGATTTGGTCAATAAGATTGTCAAGGATAAATGGGAGTTGATTGCGCAACATTGTAGTTGGAATGAGAACACATTTTTGTCGGGTTTAAAATTGATTTTTGATACCTCCACTTTCACTTATAATAACGTAGTATATCACCAAGTTGAAGGTACCCCGATGGGCTCTAAAATGTCTCCGGTCTTAGCCTTACTGGTTATGGATTTTATAATTAATGAAGTTTTAAAATTAAATAACAACCTTTAGAATTGATTTCATTAAGAAATATGTTGATTTAATTTTGGGTGTACACAGAAACGATATCGACATAATTTTAGAATCATTTAACAACTTTCATCCGAGCATTCAATTTACCATAGAAGTCGAGAAAGACAGTAGTATCTCTTTTCTTGATACTAAATTAATACGTAATGAAGATAATGTCATTCTTTTCAATTGGTATGTTACCAACTTACTCGGGAAGGTATTTGCATTTTCAATCAAATCATAATTTTGGACATAAAGTTTCAACTATTTTGGCGATGAAGCATAGAGTGACACAGATATGTGATCTTATATTTCTTAAAGAAATCCTAACTTTCTTAAGAGACACATTTATTAACAACGGTCATCCGTCCAATCTGCTTAACAAACTTTTGTTTTCATCAAATATGCATAATCACCTTAACAACAGCTGAATGAATGAACAAAACACACTAGTTAAATATAAAAAAGTCCCTTTTGTCACTAATTTAAGTGAAAAAATAAAACGGGTACTGAATTCCCTTGAGGATATGCAGATTGTTGACTGTTACGATAACAAATTAGTTTTTCACGAATATTAAGGACAAGACAGAACACCAACTAAAATCTGGTGTTATTTACTATATTCCTTGTGGTGCATGTAATGGCAAATACGTTGGTCAGACGGATCAGTGGCTGAAACGTAGGGTCCAAACATAAAAGTGATTGTAATTTAAAAAAGTCTACTTGTGCTTTATCCCAACATGCTACAGACACGGGTCA